GTAAGAGTGTGTGTGGGGGGGGTCATTGGAGGAGTGGAATGTACCAGGCTGGATAGAACACACATGTGGATGACCAGCCCAGACAACTATCAATGGCCATATGTGTATGTGTCATGGCATGTGTTTGTGTGGTTGTGTGTTCATGTGATTGTTGGATGGTGGATGTGTGGAACTTGTGCCCAGTTCAGTGTATAAGGCTGTGTGTCTGTGATGATGCAAGCACTGATGGATGTCTGTTGGGCTCACTGGGCATGCATGTGTGTGTGTTTTGTGAGTCTCTGTTTTGTGTGACTGTGTTTCAGTTCCCATGTTTTGTGTGTCCCAGTGAGAATTACAGTGTGTGGCACCAGAGAAGTGGTATGGAGTCTGTGTGTGCGGTATGTGTTATGGGGGGATCTGTGTGTATGGTATGTGCTGTGTGTGGGGGTTGTGGTATCTGTGTAGTGTGTGTGTTATGTGCAGTTGTAATGTATGGTATATGCATGGTCCGTGTGTAGAGTATGTGAAGTGCATATGGTGTGGGGGGCATGAATGCATGTGGTATTGTGCAGTATGTATATAATGTGTGTGGTACACGTATGGTATGTGTGTGCATATGTGCCAGGTGATATGCGGTATGGTTTGTGTGTACTGTATATGTGACATACGTGGTATACAGTGTGTGTGTTTGTAAGTGTGTATGTACCCCAGGCACATGACCATCCTTCCCAGAGCCAGGCCAGAGCACTTGGTTGATGTGGGCAGGGATGGGAATGGGAGTGACATCTGTGTTGGGGCACAGGTCCTGGCAGGAAAGCCCTTGCCTGACACCCGCCTCACCAGGGCAGCCATGGAGGTCTCCTGGTGTCTGTGTCCGTGAAGGGATGGTCCCTGAGCCTGGCTGTGTTACACATGGACGTGGCACTAACCTGGATGGACAGATGAGTGTGAGCCAGTGCACACGCAGCATGTGACAGCAGGGAGGCCGCTGCCTGAGTGGGGTGGGGCAGGGCAGGGTGTACATGGAGACAGTCTGGCAGGGGCTGGTGGCTCTGGCCCAGAGGTGTGTGTGGGGGTGTGTGCCTACTGGTGGGTGTCATCATCGTGAGTCTGCTGTGTGCATAGATGTGTCCTGTACAGGTGAGTATGTGTCCCTAGACCGCGTCTGAATATGTGGCCATGGGTGCAGTGAAGGTCTGTGTGTGTGTGTGCGTGTGTGTGTGTGTGTGTGTGCACGCGCGCGCCATGCAGGGGTGGCGTGGCAGTGGGAGAAGGGTCTTGGGCTGCGTCTCTCTCTCCTCTTTAGACAGAGCCCTGGAGAAGATATGAAATTTAAAAAAAAAATCAATTTTCATTCCACTTGTGCAGATTGTGTTAAGGGGAGGTGGGGATGGGGGGCTGGGTGAGGGATGAAGGGGCTGAAGGGGGGTGTGAGGCCCGAGGCAGCTCCTGAGGCCGCCAGCGCAGCTTAGAGAAATCAAAACAACTGGTTAAACCCCAGCCCAGGGGGCCGGGGTGTTGGGGTAAGGAGACAGAGGCGGAGAGGCAGACAGAGGCCCAGAGACAGGGAGGGCCAGACAGAGACACAGAGAGATAGAGGCAGACAGAGAGATTAGCAACACAGACTCTCAGTGAGAGACAGACAGACAGGCGGACAGATGGACAGAGAACTGACATTCAGAGGAGTGCTGAGAGAGGAGGACAGGAGCAGCCTGAAACAAGTGCACACTTCACATATGCACACCCACACGCACACACACGCACACACGCACACAGACATGCTTACGAAGTCCATGGATGGATGGATGGACAGAGATGGGTAGCAGAGATGGTAGAGAGAGGGTAGCAGCAGCAGCAGGGACCCTGGGGTGGGGTCACCTCTGAGTGTGCACCCCAACCAAGCCTTGACTTGTGTCTGGGGAGGGGCCACAGGCTGCCTGTGGTGCTGGTTATGTCTGAGACTGTGATCTGTGTGTGTGTGTGTGTGTGTGTGTGTGATTGTGACTGTGTGTCTGTGAATGAATGTGAGGCCCTGGGTTTGCTTCCTGGCCTTGGCTGTCTGTTGGTCATGTGCGCCCCTCTATGTCACCATGTGTGACCAAGAGCATGTATGCTTAGAGCCTCCGGTGCTTCTCTGTGTGACTCTGCTTTCCTGGCATGGCTGTGTTGCTCTGTGTTGGGTTGGGTGTGTCTGTATCTCTGTGCTGTTGTCTCATTGTGTGACTGTGCGTATTGCTGGTAGATCTGAGCGTCTGTATTTGTGAACTTGGTGTCTGCCATGTGTCCATGTCAGGGTCTTTCTAGGGTGTGTGATTGTGTGTCTTTGTTTCTGTGGGGGATTGAATTGGTGTGTGTCCTTTGTGCGTATCTGTGTGAAACTGTGTGCGTCTGTATGAGTGTTGGTGACTCTACTGATGTGTGACTGTGTGTGTGGCAGCAGTGTTTGTTGCTATGTGAACCTAACTGATACGTGCTGTGTGGCATGTGGTAGTGACTTTGTTGACGTGTGGGTGTGTGGTGTGTGTTGCACGACAGTGAGGGCGTGTGTGATTGTGTTGACACACGTGGATCTGTGGATGTGTGCTGTCAGGCGCACGGTGGTGTGCCACTCTGTTGGCGTGTGCGTGTGCTGTGTTGTGTGTGGTGTGGGGCTGTGAGGTTGTGCTTGGCAGGAAGAGGGAGGCAGCCCCTGCCTGGCCAGCCTCCCTACACTGCTGCCTCACGCGCACACACACACATTCGGTGCCATGGCTGCGGGCGCTGGAGATGGGGGCGAGGGGGGTGGAGGAAGCAAAATAAAATTAAAAATTAAAGCTTGCCCGGAGTCCCCATCTGCACCGCGCCGGCCGCGGGAAGGGGGTGCAGCTGCTCCCCCTCAGCAGCCACTGGGGCTGGGGCTGTCTGTCCATCTGTCCAGCTGCCCTAACAGGCCCCTGCCTGGCCAGACCGCCCCAGGCCGCAGGCCCTGCTCCCTCCGTGGGTCGATCAAGGATCAATGGGGCCAGGGGGGCGCCAGGGGCAGGGTGAGATCAAAGGGACCCCAAGAGAGGGACATGGGGACTGAGACAGAGATGTGGACATGGAGACCTGGAGGCAGACCCAGAGACAGGATGCTGGGTAGCAGCAGTGGAGGCCCTGAAACAGACCGGGGGGCTGCCAGGCCCAGAGACCTAGAGACAGCGGTGTGGGGAGGCAGAGAGGTGAGGCCCAGAGGCAGAGAGGCGTCCAGTGCACCGAGGCGACGCAGGCAGCTGACCTGGGCGCGGGGCTGAGCAGCGGCTGGGACAGGCGGTGGGGCAGGTGGCTGGGAAGGGGGCCCAGTGGGGGTGCCAGGGACCCAGGTCCCCACGGGGCGGACCCTGGACAGAGGCCAGGCACAGAGGTGGGGAGAAGGGGCGGCAGAGACGCCTGTGAGAGACGGTGGGGGAGCGTGGGAGCAGGGCCCGGAGCGCCGATCCCACGGCTCCTCGTTATAACGTGTCCGGAGGAGGCGGCGGGGAGTTGAAAGCAAAGGGAAGAGAAATCAAAACCAACACGGAAATGAGAGGGGCCAATGGGGGGCGGGGCGGGAGGGAGGAGGGGGAGACCCAGAGAGGCTGAAAGAGAGGGGAAGTGGGGAGGGGAGATGGGAGAGAGCCTGGGGTGGGGTGGTGGCCGGGGAGACGGGGGAGAGGGAGGGAGGGAGGGCGACAGAGACGGGGAGTCTCCCCGAGACGGAAGGAGGCTCCAGCTGGGGAGATGGAGAGGGGCACAGAAGGGGATGGGAGAGACGGACTCGGAAGTGGGGTGGGGCTGGGGGCAGATAGTCAGGAAGAGCCGGGGAGACTGAGAGGGCGAGAGCAGAGCGGAGGAGACCCCTGAGTGAAGGAGAGGTGGGAGACGGGCAGGAGACCAGGGAGGGACAGAGGGAGGGGGCCGAGAGGGCACGAGTGAGAGCTGGGGGCGCTGTGCAGGGACAGGGCTTGGGGACCTGTTGACACTGCCTGGGGTCCAAGGGGTGAGGGGGTTTAGGAGGGGCCGAGACCTAGCTGAGCATCCTGAGGGGTCCCGAGGGTGTGAGGGATATCTGAGAGCATCGGAGAGAGTCTGGGAGGACAGAGGGGGTCTGAGGGGCGCGTGGGAGGGGTTTCCGACAGCGCGGGCAAGACGGGGCTAAAGGGTGCCCCATCCAGGGGCGCAGTGTCGCTGCCACCGCGTGTGAAGGGAGTGGATGCTTAGGGGTGGCGAGGGGCACAGGCTCTCTGAGGAGAAGGTGCTGTGAGGAAGGGGTGAGCAGCGATGGAGCATCTCCGATCTCCGCGTATCTGGAGAGAGGGTGTCGGTCGGAGGGAGCAGGATTGGAAGGGTGGGCCCTGAGGGGAGAGATGACCAAGTGCACGGTCTTTGGGTGAGCAGCAGGTCTGGAGGAAGAGGTCTGTGGGACTCATACAGGGGGCTGGGGGCATCCTGTCGGGGACAGCAGGGGCCGTCTGCCTCTCCCAGCCTGGCCGACAGGTGCCCAGCTCTGCCAGCTCCGAGGAGAGGAGAGGAGAGGAGAGGAGAGCAGACGAACTGGCCTGGGGGTCAGCCGGGTGGGGCAAGCTTCAGAGCAGCTACATCCGGGGCAGCTGGAGAGAGACGCACAGAGAGGGCGAGAGGGAGACCCAGAGACAGCCCAGAGCCCAGCCCCCAGAGGTCAGGCGAGAGACGGGGGACAGAGGCGGCAGCGGGTGGCGCTGTGGCGAGGGCGGGCGGGCGGGTAGTGAGAGCCAGTGAGTGCGAGTGAGCCAGCCGCAGCGAGTGGCGGGCAGTGAGGAGAGGCTGGGAGCGCGGTTAGTGACCGAGGCACCAGCAGGAGGCTGAGAGGGGAGGATGGTGGCTCGGGCCAGGGACAGAGGGGCACAGGGGGCAGGGGGAGGCCCATAGGGAAAGCGGGCTGGGAGGAACTGGGGGCAGAGAGAGCAGTGGGTACCAGGGGGCGGGTGGGGCTGGGAGACGGGAGCCCTGCAGGGTCCCGCCGGCCCGGCTGACCTGTCTGTCTCTCCTGCTGTCCCCATCCCCGTGTGTCTGTCCGGCCTCTGCAGGGCCAGCTCCGCCATGGACTGTAGCTGCGTCTCCGAGCTCCTCTTCGCCCCGCCTGCCCTGCCGGCTCTCTGGACCCCCGGTAACTGGCCCAGATCCCCCGACCCTGCCCCCCCAGCCCTCCCTAGGGGCACACCTCCTTCTCTCTACCTTCTTTCTGTGTGTCTTCTTGTCCATCTGTGCATCTGTCTCCCTTGGTCTCTGTCAGAGTCCCCTGAATAAAACCCCTTCACAAAAAACTTGGCTAAAAACTTCGTAGCCAGCTCTCCCTGCCACCTGCCTGCTGGGACATGGGGGTGGGGTGGATGAGGCAAAGAGGTCAGTGAGAGATGAGGATGCCTGGGCATATCAGCCATGCATACCTGGACACCCAGCACCTGCAGCCGGCGGGGAGCAGGACTGGAGGGGCATTAGGCCAGGTACAACGGACAGATGGACAGTCAGATCAGCCCAAGCAGCCCGGGCCCGGGAGAGCCGGCTTGCTTAGAAGTGGATGCTCAGGACTGGGGATAAGGACAGAAAGGCTGGCTTGGACGTGCATTTGAGCCTGAGTCACACTCCCCACAGATGGCAGTGTGTGTGTGGTGTGTGTGCAAGTGTGCATGCCCGCATGAGTGACAGCAAGGGAGAGACAAGACCACTTGGTTATTTGGGGTCTCGTTGTGGAGCACATCTTGTGTCACACTTTAGTGTTTCTAGAAGGGTTCACCTGGGCAAGTGTCGGCGCCAGTCTGCCCATCTGCGTGTGCCCGCGTGTGCCCGGCTGAGGCCACCTAAGCGGTGTGCTACGTGGCATTCCCAGGGACTTCTTGGCACATTCTGGGCTGCGTGGCTGGATGTGCCCCCGGCCTCTCGGGCAGGCTCTGTGTCTAGCTTTCCATCCAGGTGTTTGTGTGTGTCAGACAGTATTTGGGGTTGTCATCAGTGTGTGTGTCGCCAGCTGACTGGGGGCTCTCTCCAGCCGTGTATCTGTCTCAGTGACTATAAGGCGTTAGAGAAGGTGTGTTCCAGGGAAGGTGGCTTTTCTGGGTTGGTTTTGCATTATCATCTTGGGGCTGTATGAATGAGTCTGTGGTACACTCGCTTCCCTGTAGGCTGGTAGGGTGTGTTCTGGGGTGTGAAGTGGGCCAAAGCTGTCTTTGCTTGAGTCCTGTCATCTGAGGTGAGAAAGGCACAGAAAGGAGTTGAGATAAAAATCTCCCATTGAGGAACTGCCTGGCATTTTGGCAGGAGGGCATTAGCGCCCACTCTTCCACACCAGGCAGCCTGGACAGGACTCTACTTCTCCTTGCATCAGCAGCCAGAGAAGGCAAGGACCTGCCAGTGGCCACATAGCAAGTGGATTCAGGGACCCAGGTCTCCCAGCTCAGTGGTGCTCTGCCCCATCGCCCCCTCCTCAGCAGCCCCTTCCTTCCTGCAGGGCTCTCAGCTGGGAAGGGGGCCGCTGCATTGCACTGATGCCTGGGTCTGGGGGCTCTGTGCCGGGGGAAGGGACAAGGGATGTGACTCAGAAGCTGGACCCAAGGCCTGAGCCTTCTGGATGGGAGGTGAGATCTAAGGGTGGGCAAGACCTCCCACTTGCACCCACCTTCTTAGTGTACATGGACAGCGGAGCCCAGGGCACCCCTCCCTGTGTGAAGTATGTGACAATGAGCTGCAGGTGTGCTGACCTGTGGGTGTGGGTTTGGGAGGATGCTTACCAGAGTGTCGCCCTGCATGTGTCTGTCTGGCTGTGTACCTGTAGACCTGAATGACTGGATGCTGCAGACATGGTCTCCATCACACTGGGTGTTAGTTGGCTCTTTGGGCTACTATGCGTGTCATTTGTTGCAATTGTGTTGCTAATGGGTCCCAGTTCTGAGGAGCTGGAGGAAATGTACAGTGGTGCATGTTGTGATGGGTGCGCAGTGCTGGCTTGTTGGGGTGACTGACCTTGTACCTTGGGCAGTCTGTGCCTGGCGTGCCTACCTTGGAGGCCCTGTGGGGTGCTCTGCCATGACTGTGTCCCTTGGTATGGCTGGGTGTCTGATGAGTGAGTGGATGTTTATGGGATGCGTTGTCTGCCACAGGCATCTGTGAGAGGGCATGAGCATGTGTGCTTGCACACAAAGGACACACAACCCTGCTCTGCACAGCTCTGATAGACCTGAGCACAGATATGGAGAGGGGTCCTGGGGCTGTGGAGGGGACAGACAGCCAGGTGCAGAGAGATGTGTACATGGGGTCAGCCCAGGTGGGGCTGGTGGAGGACTCGGGAGAGTATGGAGATGGAGCAGGGGGCAAGGGCTTGGAAAGAGGGGAGACAGAGAATCTCAGGGTGCAGGAGACACCAGAGAGAAGGGCTCAGCTGGAGAGGGGTTGCCCTTCCCATCCAGCACCTCCCCAGTGTGGCTGGTACAGGGAACTGGCCCTTCCCACCCCCACCCCCAGTGCCGACCCCGAGGGAGTTGTGCCCAGGTGGGTAGAAGGTCAGGCAGGGAGCAGCGACCTAGGGGCCTCTCTCAGTTTGGACAGTTTAGGGACTAGACAACAGCAGGCCATATCTGGAGATGACAACCTGGTCCTTAAAGTTGCCTTAGGCCGGCAGCTACTCCTCAGAGCCCTGAAGCCAGGGGAGGACTGGATGCCCCTCGGGTCGCTGAGTCTGGCATGACCCACAGCCTGGCATCCTGACCCCAGGCCACTCCCTACCTCCTGTCCCCAGGGTTTGCCTTCCCGGATTGGGCCTACAAGCCGGAGTCGTCCCCTGGCTCGAGGCAGATCCAGCTGTGGCACTTTATCCTGGAGCTGCTGCAGAAGGAGGAGTACCAGGGCGTCATCGCCTGGCAGGGGGACTACGGGGAATTCGTCATCAAGGACCCTGATGAGGTGGCCCGGCTCTGGGGCATCCGCAAGTGCAAGCCCCACATGAATTATGACAAGCTGAGCCGGGCCCTTCGGTGAGGAGGGGCTGCAGGCCTGGACTCCCACCTCCCCCTCCCCTCCCGGCAGGCACTGTGCCTTTGGTCCCACCTGCTGGGAGCTTTCCCTTCACATCCTGGGCCAAATCCTGTTGGATCCCAAAGCACAGGGCTCTGTATTGTAGCTGTCATAATTACTTGTGAGTGGAAGAGAGAAAACAGAGGACTTGAGCCCTGGGCTTTGGAGCCATGCAGGGTAGGATTTCGGCTCCTGCCTTACCCTTCCCTTGCCCTGTGACCCTTCACCGAGTGAATCTGTTTTCCTAAACTGCTGGCACAGGGAAGGTTCTATCTAAAACCCCTAGGGTTCTCTTTGCCCCTCCCCAGGACAGCAAAACCTCTCTCCCCACAGTTACTACTACAACAAGCGCATTCTCCACAAGACCAAAGGGAAGAGGTTCACCTACAAGTTCAACTTCAGCAAAGTCGTGCTTGTCAATTACCCACTGCTGGATGTGGCGGCCGCTGCCACTGGCTCCCCACTCTTGCTGACCCCTGGTCCTTTTGGGGGCGCCCCTGGGCCAGATGCTCCTCCCCTCACCCCTGAGGTGAGTTTGGATCCTTGGGTCCCAGAACTGGAACTGGGGCATCTCACTCCCCCCACCATGAAATGCCCAGGAAGGGGCAGTGTGAGCAGCACTGCCTCCCCCACTCCCCTCTCCAGACCCTGCAGACCCTGTTCTCCGCCCCACGCCTTGGAGAGCCAGGGGCCCGGACGCCCCTGTTCACCTCTGAGATGGACAAACTGCGTCTGGACAGCCCCTTCCCATTCCTGGGCTCTGGTAAGGGCCTGTGGGTCCCAAGGGTTATGGGATATCTGCAGGGGTTTGAGGGAGAACAAGACAAGACTGCAGGAGACAGGCTGGAGGAAGGAAGCCTGGGGCCAGGCTGTGTGTGTTCACGTGTGCACGCCTGTTTAAAAGCCGGTGGATGTATGGAGCGGGAGGTGGACAAGCTGGGAGAAGGGCTGTAGGGGCACTAAAGGAAAGGGGAGCTGTGAGGGGGAGCAGGGGGGACAGTGAGGATGACGGGGGAGAATGGAGCAGAACAGAGCAGGAGGCAGCACCTTTACCAACCAGCCCCAGGCAGGCAGACCCCAGGTCGAGGGGCCCAGCCTGACCAGCCCATCCCCCCCCCCCAGGTGCCCCCAGCTACTCCAAGCCCCCTGGCCTGCTGGGTCCTTACAGCCGCGCCTTCCCTGAGTGCCCCTGGAACTTGAACCCGTACTTCACGGGCCCCTTCCCCAAGCTGCCCCCGTCTCTCTACCCCCCCCACTTCTATCCCAGCCCTCTGGCCAGTTCCCTGGGCCACCTGCCCTCTGCAGGGGCTGGGGGAGGCCCCACAGCTGCACCCCTGCTGGCTGCGACCGGGGAGAGCCTGGGCCCCGAGCGCCCCTCAGGTCTGGCAGCAGCAGCCCCTCGCCTGGCACTGCCAGGAGCTGGGGGTCCAGAGCCTGCGCTGGCAGGGAAGGACGACAGCGACTCGGAGCTGGAGATCACCGATGTCAGCGCCTGCAGCTCTGACAGTGAGGGCGATGAGAGCCTCCCGGGGCCCCCCAAGGCCAAGGCGGGCAAAGCGGGTACCGGCAGCTGAGCCAATGTGGGGCGATGGATTCTGCCGAGGCGGGACCAGGAGGGCCACCTTCAGAGGCTCACCCACCCAGTCTGCCCTCCATGCCAGACCAAGGCCCAGGCCCAGCCCTTGGCAGCCCTCCCCAGCCCAACACTGGGGGTCTCACCTCTCACCCCAAGGGGTGGGGAAGGAACCTGAAGGCCTCCGGCCTCCTCTCCAGGCTCCAGTTTGAGGGGTCCCCGCCTGGCCCCACTCCCAAAGTGCAATATGGCGCTCAGCCTGCCCACCTCCCCGGCCCGTTGCTGTGACCTGTGTGTTTGTGTGGCCGTGTCTCCAGCCCCCGTGCCGGCCCCATCCTGATAACCTCCCACGCAGGCCCCCTGGGGAAAGGGAGCTCAGAGCAATAACCCCGCCCCCAGCCCCCACCCAGGAGGGCCCCCTCCCCACCAGCTCCCCACGACCCCCCATAGCCACCTCCGGAGAGTTTACTACAAAAATAAAAGAACAGAAAGTGAGATTGGTGGGTCCCCCCAGTGTTTTAGATGACTGGGGCCCCAGGTGGGGGCTGGGAAGAGTGGGGGCTCCTTACATCCAGTGTGTGTGGCAGGGTGCTGGGGGTAACTGTTAAGACACAAGAATGAATGAACGCAAAAGTAAAAGGAGGTAAGAGGCAGAGATACGTGGTCGGGCCTAGGAAGTCAGCAGGAGGCAGCCGGACACCCCGCCGAGCGCCCCCAGACCTCTCCTTAGGTAATATATATTAAAAAATAAACCTCCAATTCAGGGTATAAAAACAGCAAAGGCACTTGGGGATGGGGGATGGAGGGGTGCCCCCGCAAGCAATACTGAGACGGCCAGGGAAAGGGGGGTCCTGGTGGCACCCCCTGGAATGAAGCCCTGAGTCCCCCAAGCAGAAGCCAGGAGGGAGAGCAGGCCTAGCGAGGCTGGTGGAGGAGGCAGGGACCGCAGCTGGGCCCTTCCCAGGTGTGGCCCCGGCGGCGGCGGCCTGGCTCCCTCTTCAGGTCCCTGGGGTGTGAGATGTGGCTGCAGCGGTGGGGGCAGGGGCCCCTCACGTCCTCTCCCCTGCTCGTCTCTTCCTTTTGAAAGGCCTGGGGGTGCAGGAGAAGAAGGGGAGAGATGGAGGGACAGAGACCAGGCGGGAGAAGAAGTCCGAGAAGGCAGAGAGGCAGAGAAACAAATTGACAGAGGAAGCAGGGACCAAGGGGAGAGGCGGCGCAGTGATCGCAGACACGCAGGAGGAAGGGAGACCCAGACGGGGCTGGGAGGCACAGGCGCCGGCCGCTCTGTCCCCTCAGGGCCGCACCCAGCCCAGCTCCCCTACTCACCTGCAGGGGCGGGCGGAAGCCTCATGTGCAGCCAGGCTGGGGAGCAGGGTTCCCTCCCAGCTGAGCCAGGAGGGGCCGCAGGCGGCAGAATTCCTCCTCCAACTCCTAGTGGGGAGGGGCCGTCAGGTCAGGAGGGAGAGGGAGAGGGGGGGGGGTCCTCCTCCCCCGAGGTGCAAGGTGTGCCCAGGGCTCCCTCCCCCAGCCACACCTCCAGCTGCTTTATGGCCTCCTCCAGGCTGAGCAGGTTCTCCTGAATTTCCTGGGTCTGCGCAGGGCCCAAGGGGCCACCACCTGGTACCCCATCCCCGTCTCGGGGAGGCCCCACCCCGCTGTCTTCCTCCGTGGGCAACAGGAGCTGCTTCAGGGACAGCACTGGCCAGGGACAAGGGGAATGGAGTCATGAGAGGCAGGCAGAGGATTCTGCTGGGGTCCCGGAGGGGCAGGAAGGGCAGAAGCCAAGGGCCTGCTGGGTGGGGAGGATATAGTGGGGAGGCTGGGGTCAGGGCTGGATGCGGCAGGAGGGCACTGCAGACAGAAAGGCTGAATCTAGGGCTAAGGGAGGGATGTTGATGTAGAAAGAAGAGGGGCTTGGGCCACCCAGGATGGTGGTGCAGGCTGGGTCGGCTCGGTGCATCTGGGTCCTACTGGCTGGACATAAAACAGACTGGAAATGGGGAAGCTTTTTCTAATTGGAACAGAGGCACCGTTTGGCTGGCGGCTGCCCTGGGGGGGCAGGGCTGGGCTACCTTTCCGAAGGGCTGTGGCAGCGAGCTGCCCCTCAGGGCCCGGTCTGCAGAAGGGCAGGAGGTCACTGAGGATTCTCTCAGTCTGGGCTGGATGGGCAAACAGGAGGGTACTCAGATCTGGCTGGGCATACTGTGGACACCTCTCCTTGCTCGTGATTCCCCACCCAGTGGCCCTCCGGTCTCACCATCAGCTGGAGGCACCTCTCGGCCACCGTTGCCGTTCTCAGAGCTGCTGAGCAAGGATTCTCGGGTGCTGTGGGGAGAAGTGCTGGGTGACCCCACACCCCTGGCCCTGCTGGGCAGCGGGGTCAGAGAGACAGAGAGCTGGAGGTGGGGAGGCGGGACAGTCCGGAGACAGAGACAGAGGTGGAGGCCAGGACACAGGGAGACACAGAGGCCCTGACAATGGAAGACCACCGAGAGGCCTGGAGATAGGAGACAGATGGGCGTGGTGGGGTCGGCATGCACACTCACACACATGCACACTGAGCCGGGACCGGGGCTTGGGTTCTGGGGATGCCAAGGGAAGCCGCCCCACCTTTCCAGCTCCCTCCCTGGTCCCCCTCACCTGCTTGGGCTGGGCCGGGGCTTGGGGCGGGAGGCAGGGGCAGGGACTTTCAGGGATCCAGCGGTCTCAGTGATGAGGGCACACCAGCTGGGGAGAAAGGCCCAGGCCAGTCAGCACCTCCAGACCTGGGGGGGGCACCTCCCACACCCACACTGTCCCCAGGGAACCCCCCTCACTTCTTCCGCTCCGACACCGTCTGTGCTACCAGCTCGTATATCTGGGCCTCCTGGTCCCAGGTAAAAATGACGTAGAAAGCTTTGTGATCTGTGGAGGGAGAAGGAGCTCAGGGCCAGGACCTCCCAGTATGCACCCTGCCTGTCCTGTGCAGGTGGGATGCTAGAAAGCCCTAGAGATGCAATTCACCCCTTGCTGTCTGGCTGATCTCCCAGTCCCACTTCCTGTCCCCATCCCTCCGGCTCCCACAGACCCTGATCCCATCAGGCAACAAGTCCCCTGGCTGGCTGTACCTACAGAAGCCCCCAGATGCCCCACCATCGAGCGTCTCCCATGGCCCCGGCCCTGCTGCAGCTTCTAGGCAGTATGTCTGCTGGTCCCTCCTGCCTGGATTCCCAGCTTCTGGCCCTATACCCTATGATTCTCAAGTGGCAGCCAGAGTGTCTCGTCAAAATACCAGTCAGGGCAGGCCACAGGTCAGTGCAAACACACACAGGAGCAGTTTCTCTCTACTTTCCTACGCTCCTGCAGCATCCTGCCACCTCTGCCTCCACCAGCCTAGTGGGCCCCTTCTGAGCCTCTATGACAGCCGCCCCTGCCTCAGAGTGGGCTCCTCGGCTCCCTACAGGGAAGCTCTGCTTGATGACCTGCCCTCACCCCACCGCTGCTCTCACCGGTGGCCACCTCTCGGGTCATGGCAGAAGTGAGCCGCAGCACGGGCCGCAGCATGGTCTTGCCGTCGGGTGTGGGCGTCAGTGTCCGGCTGTGTGACTTGAGCAGCAGCCGTTCATCTTGGCGCTGGAGCAGCAGCAGCAGGTCGTCCAGCAGCAGCACGTGGACCTCTGAAGGGGCACGGCCAGTGGGTGCTCCCACCTGACCCCCCACACCTTGTCGTTGTCTCCACCCCTGCTGCCACCCTGGTGCTCACCCACAGCCTTGTCCTTGGTCACCCGCCATGTCAGGGGTCCCTCATGGACCAACTTCTTCTTGGTGATGTCCAGGTTCTGGGGGCAGGAGGAAGTGATGGTCAGCCAAGGCGAGAGGAAAGGAAGGGAGAGAAGAGTGGCAGGCAGGACAGTTTCAGGGCCAAGGACTGGTCCTAGCCGTGGGGCAAGGAGTGAAGTCAAGAGTCTCGATGGACACCGGGCTGGAAATCAGGTGGGTGGTGAGGCTCCCTGGGCACATTATCAGGGCCGGGGTGGGGGCTGTGTCAGAATCCCCCAGAGGGCAGGAGCAGGGTGGACAGTGGGCACGAGAGGGAGGGGCCCACAGGCCTACCTTGAATTCACTCAGCATGGGGTCGTTGCTCTGCCGAAGGTGGGACAAGTCCAGGCGCCTCTGATAATCCCTGAGCCGCTGGAGCAGAGATGACAGTGTTCAAGGGACAAGCCGAGCACTGGGGCTGACCCCCACATACCCCAGGCTGGGGAAGCTGAGAGCCAAGGTCACCTTTGAGGGACAAGATGAGGCCAGGCCTGACCTCCAGTGACCTTGAAGGGGAGTGGCTGAGGGTTGGGAGACCCGAGGGCAGTCAAGGGCTCTGACTGGTCTGTGGCTAAGGTAAGGAGGGGCCTGGCGCCCCACCCACCCCCAACCTGGCCAGGGCCATGCCCGCTCACCAGCAGGTCCTCCGTGTCACGCACGGCTTGGTTGACGTGGTGCAGGATCAGCCGGCAGCACTCAGCTGCCTGCTCCACTTTCTCTCGCTCCTTGGGCTCTTCTGCAGACATGGGAGAGACCAACCAGCTCCAGTGAACCCCAACCTTGAAGGCTCCTGCTTCTGGCCATGGCTAAGAAAGGGCAGCTGAGGCCAGAGGGGTGGAGCAGGCCGCAGTACCTGTGTTCTGGCCAATGCTCTGTAGCAGCAAGGGGTACTTGGTCAGCCGCTGCATCTCAGTGGGGATCATGTCCTTCAGCTGCAGGCGGCGGCACCGCGGGCGGCTCTCAGCTTCCTGGGGGGAAAACAGTGTGGGGTAGGATGCTGGCCCCACCTCCAGGGGACCTGGAATCTAGCCCCCAGCTCCTCCTTCCCTAGGTCCCTGGGGCCAAGGCCCCACCTCACCTGCACAAAGGCACAGAAGCGGGGGTCCTTCCGTTGTTTGGCTTTGAGCTGCTCTAAGGCAAATGACTGGCGGCTGCAGAAGCGGGAGGAGATTTTCTGGAACCAGGAGCCCTCAGCACCATCAAACTACAGCAAGATTCAGGCCAGGGAAGGTCTCAGATGGGACTGGCAAGAACAGAATCTCAGCAGGGATGGAAGCCTAAAGCAGGACACCCCAGGCCCAGCCCCAGCCCCAGCCCCCTGGGTCTGGAGGGGAAAGGTCCCAGGCTGGGGGAGTGAGGAGGGGCTGGGCAGGGCACCCTCACCCGGGCCAGCAGCACATCTCCAATCTCCTCAATGAGGTAGCCACTTTCCTGTCTCCGCTTCATCAGGCGATCCAGGAATAGGGCTGTGGGGTCAGTGAGGAGAGGGGGTGAGCTGTTAGGGCCTGGAAGACTGAGGCACCCAGGTGGGAGCTGGTGGGGGTCAGGCTGCAGGTGGCTGTCTGCAGTCCTGGGGGCTGATCAGCCTGTCTCCCAGCCCTCCT